CCCGCCCAGGTGAGCCGAGCGGGCAGCGCCGCCGCCTTTGTCCGGCGCCTCCATTTTGTTCGGGTCCTTCCGACTCGGCGCTGGGCCGGACCCGCCCCCAGCATTGGGGGGCCTGGAGCCCCCGTCCCCGGCGCCATGGGACCCACTGAGGGGCCGGGATCGGGGCGTCGCGGTCACCCCGCGCCGGGCTCTGCTCCTGGCTGGAGGGAGAAGCCCCAGGGCAGGTTCGGGAGCGTTTCATAGCGCCCCACGTGCTGCCCTGCGAGTCTGCGACTCGGCGCTGGGCCGGACCCGCCCCCAGCATTGGGGGGCCTGGAGCCCCCGTCCCCGGCGCCATGGGACCCACTGAGGGGCCGGGATCGGGGCGTCGCGGTCACCCCGCGCCGGGCTCTGCTCCTGGCTGGAGGGAGAAGCCCCAGGGCAGGTTCGGGAGCGTTTCATAGCGCCCCACGTGCTGCCCTGCGAGTCTGCATCTGCAAGAGCCGCGTTGGCGCAGAAGCTTCCGTGGTGAAGCCCCACTTGGTCCGATGCGCACTAAGCTGTGCAGCCTCTGACCAAGTGGGGCTTCGCCCACGGAAGCGTCTGCGCCAAGGCTTCGGTGAGTCTCTCAGGTGCCACAGGGCTCCTCCCCGCAATGGCACTAAAGAGCGCAAAGCCGGGCTCCGGGAATCCTGGATGCTGTGGCCGTGAAATGGCTGCAGACATCTGTCATGTGGTTTAAGGGTTGGAATGTCGCCGTAGCACAACTCGTGGTGTTATGTTGTGGTAACTAAACTGAAATGGTTTTGTTCCTCCTTTAATAGTTGGCAAACCAACTGAAGTCAAGCAAAATGACTAAGTCACTCTCTTCTCTTACAGCTGTTTGCAGACAAGGTTCCAAAGACAGCAGGTTCGTAAACCCTTCGGGTTCGTGGAGACTGCATTGCAGTCCTCTGTTACTTCTATTTAAAATAAGTTGGAACATTTCACCCAGAGGCTTGATAATGGGTGTTACCTATAAATACCATCTGGTAACAACTGTCTTCAATTGGCAGAGAACTTCCGTGCCCTGACCACTGGGGAGAAAGGATTTGGTTACAAGGGATCCTGCTTTCACCGAATCATTCCTGGGTTCATGTGCCAGGTATGCATCACTGACTCCCCTTGGTTATGGCCTCAGTCATTATTTTTGTGTTGCAGTTCTCACGCTTTTCTCTTTGAAACAGAGTAATTCTGTATTTATATAAACTGTCTTGCTTAGCGGCTTGAATGGCAGCATTCCAGTCTGTTTGCTGTCACTATCCTTCAGGCTTTGTGCCTTATGGAGTAAAAGAGATGACGTTGGTCTCATAGACGTATAAGTGCTGGATCTATTAGAAGGGTTGGTATTGGTGTGTTTCACTTGCAGTGCTTGTTCGTTTTTCAGGGCGGTGACTTTACATGCCATAATGGAACTGGTGGCAAATCCATTTATGGGGAGAAGTTTGCTGATGAGAACTTCATCCTGAAGCACACAGGTCCTGGCATCTTGTCTATGGCAAATGCTGGCCCCAACACAAATGGATCCCAGTTCTTTATCTGCACTGCTAAGACTGAATGGTAAGTATGGAGAAATGAAGAGTAGAGATTTCATTAATGTAATTCTAAAAGATGTTTAGCCCTCTGGTGCATTGTCACAACTCATTGTAGTGTGGCCAGCTTAGAGAACATACTCACCCCAGCTGTTGTGATCCTTGTCAGTGAACATGAGGAAACCTCAAATCTGGTTTCTATGTAGTGAGGTTTCACAGAACCCTAAACTGTAGCTGCTCTGAGTGATAATCCTCCAGATCCCCTCGTATCTGACAAACTGTAGCTTCCTGTCTGGTGGCTCAACTGGCACTCCTTTTCATTGAGTGTGATGGGAGGCTGGTAACATTATAGCTGAGTACTAACCAGCTTGCTGATTATACAAGCTGCCTGGAATGGGTGTTTGCATTCAGTAGGTCAAACAAGTCACTCTCAGCAATGTGATCTATAAAACATGTGTTTTATCTTAGGTTGGATGGGAAACACGTTGTCTTTGGCCGTGTCAAAGATGGCATGAAGGTGGTGGAAGCAATGTCTAGCCTTGGATCAAGAGAGGGTAAAACAAAGAAGAAGGTCGTCATCAATGACTGTGGGCAGCTGTCATAAAATTCCTTACTGTCTTAACCAACCATTCCTTCTGTAGCTGGGGCTAACATGCCATGGTGTGTTTTTTAGCTCCCTGTAATACTTGTGTTCCTGACTTACTGCTGCATTTCTATTGGGTTTCATTTCCCGTAACTTCACAAGTCTAGCTGGACTGCAGAGTTGAGTTTATGATTATGAAATTAAATAAATAAAACAAGCTAACCACATGAGTTTTCTTTTTTGTAAAGGAAGTGTGCCTTGAGAGGATTGAGTGTAGTGACCATCTCTTTTCCTAGCAGCAGCAAGAAATCCCCTTCTGAAGGAGCATCGCCTGGCTACTACAACCGTATGTGGGATCAGCAACTAGGTTTTCTTAAATGGTCCAGCTTGGGATTCCTTATGGGGAAACCACCAGACTAAAAGGGGTTTTGGAAGCCTGTAGCTTGGCATGGATGACATCCCAGTGGCATGGGAGTTCACTTGGCAAGCATCCCCACTAATGCTCTTAAGGCTGCTATAGAGCAAATGGCTAAGCAAGTTATTAATGAGAATGACACACAACCAGTGATGTTCATAGTAAAGGTCCTATTGAGTGCAGGGTAAAGTGCGGAGGCCTTAGCAAGAACTTTATTTTGTGAGGTGGAGTCTGTGCAAAGACACTAAGCTCATCTGCAGGCCTTGCCACCTCAACTTACTGGGCTGTTCAGCATCCTGGTCAGGGATAGCCAGACTGAGCCACATGACAGTCTTTCAGCAATTCAAAATCTGAGGTTCTGCAGGAGTTGATGGTGCATTCACATACCTCTGTACATAAAGCCTATGCCCCAATAGAGAAACAGCCTAGCTGTGGGTGTTCTGCTAGTCGGGGGGGGTACAGCTTACAGGGAACACTAGCTTTCACTTTGTGGGCTACAAGTGCCTCCATAGCAGAGCAACAGCCCTGACTCTGCTGTCTGGGGCCGGCTGCTAACTTTGGACCCTGTCATGCATGTGCTGTGCTAATTGGGCTGTGCATTGAGAACTGCTGCTCTAGTCCCTACCATGCAGTAGTTCTGGGTTTCCTCCTGTAGTCTGTTAACCAGAGTGTGGTGAGGGTCAGTACCACAGCATTTTGAAGGGCTAGCCAGCTGAGGCTTGTCTGCCTTGTGCATTTGATTCTACTGTGCATGGGATCTTGCACTAAAGATATAAAACAATACTAGAGAGGGCCTGGAATAGTTAAGGAAAAACACAACTTATGCTTTGAATGGTCTCTAGCAGCAATAATCCTGCAATCCTCAAATGCTTTATCAATAACTTCAAGAGAAAATGGCATGTGTAATAAAACAAGTATTAGCAAAGTAAAAGCTGACACTTAGTGCGAGCCATGCAACTGCAATGCAGTAATCCCTTCTACCAACATAGCAAGAACACCATGCCATGTAAGCTGGGCCTTCTGTCACACCTCAGTAGCTGCATTTATCAGAATGAAGTGTCTGCTTGCTAAATGTAATCCTGCTCTCTAACAGTTCTAATTCACTGTCTAAAGAATACCTGTTGCCAGCCTTATAAAGCTCTTGCAATAACTTCACTGTTTAGTTCTTGAATAGTTTCTCTAAATCTATTGGCCTTATATAGACCAATAAATCTTATGGATAACTTTGTAGCTAAATGGTAGGATCACATTGCTTTGCATCACTTCTGTTTGCTTAAGCAGGTGTTTACCTGCATCATCCTTTTGTGGTATGTCATTATAAAATGGAAACTGAGGGTTGATAGTCAAGTGACATAAATAATTTTCATGGTAAAAATAGATACTCTCTTCAGAGAGTGTCACTTCTGTTGCAGAGACAACTAGATGGTGGTCTATTTCCTCCTTTAAATCTGTTGGTAGTGTAGGTTGATTTGAAAAGGTACAAACAATGTCTGCAACAAAGCTGGTGTTCCTAGCTTTCTCTTTTTGCCATAGGCAGGATTCTCATGCCTGGTTTTAGCAACTAATGCTTGGAGGTATTCTCATCTTTGGCTTTCAGATTGCTAAACTCTTTTCAGTTACGGTTGCCCTGCATGTTGCAGTCCATTCTGTCAGCTTGCCACACTAGAAATGAGCATTACTCATGTCAAAGTGGCAGTAGTTGCATAAGCGTGTTGATCCCAGGATTAGAGGCAATATCTTATGCTATCTAATGGGGTTCCATAGAATCTGTTCTTTGGGCTTTGTGCTCTATCCGTTGACTTGGAAGGGGAATTCCTGGTAAAATTTGATTGGGACAAGAGTTGGTAGAGTGCTGAATGACAGGTAAGCTTTAGAGATTTTTTCAAATGTACCTAGCTTACCAATGTTTTTAGTACAAAGGTACAAAGGTATGACATCTAAGTAATGTAGGTCACACTTGCGGAATGGAGAACTGTATTTTGGAAAACTGAGCTGGGAAAAACTCTGGTCTTGGACAGCCACCTAATGTAAGCTCATAGCACCTTGCAGTGGCTAAGAGCAAATGTGATCCTTAGAATCCATTGTGTGCAGTGGCAGACCTATATTGGGTTAGCATCTGGTTCTGATCAGCTTTAAAAGGATTGCTGATTGAAAAGAATGGTTCAGACTAAAGAACTTGCCAGTGAGAGACTAGAAGCTCAAAACTATTGATCCAAGGAAGTCAACTTGATCAACATACAGATAGCTATGTAGGCAAGAGACTTTGGCTAGTAGAGTGCTAGTTAATTAGCAGGCAAAAGCAGAGCAAGAGCCACTGGCTGAAGGTAAAATACCTTAAAACTAGAAATGGAGTGCAGCTTTTTAAGAGTGTGGCTATCTAGGGATGTGAATTCCGTTGCAGCATGTTTCTAAACTGTTCTGCAGATCAGTTAGGAATTGTACCTGAAGCAAAAGTCTTAGTGAAAAATCTCTGGCCTTTTAGTGAGAATAGGGCCTTCATATGATCTGTGTCTACCACGGTGGAGATCTCTGTCCTGTGAGACTGGACATGCTTACCCAAGGAATTCCCCATCTCCCCTAGTCATACATTCCAGTGGAATCATGCAATTGATATCCATGCATGCAAGGAGACACCTCTTACCTAGGTCTGGATCTTGGGAATGCCGCTCTCCCTGCCAGAGGGGAAAACATCTTTCCCTGGATCTCTTCAGCTGTGTG